TTCCACTTCTCTTTTTGGAGGTAAACATGGAAAATCTTCCGAAAATACATCTAAAAACTCCTGGAGTACTGGCACATTCTGAATCTCTAGCTGTGGGACATCCCTATTGTGCACTACATGAGCAATATACCTAGAGCACCATTTTCTTAGCATCTTTCTGGCCTTTGCACTACTAATTAACATACTAAGTTGGTGACCCTCGCCAAAATTAAACTTATCACCATCATCAAGATTAAATCTTGCTTTCTTCTTCCGACAATAAATCTCTACTCCAAATCTCCCCAGGAAATCCATGCCCAAAATAACATCAAAATCAGGCATATCAAACACTATCAAATCCACCGGTAACTCCCTTCCATGGATCACTACGGACTCCCTTGGAAGCATCTCTTGAGTTACCACACTAATACCATTTGGTAACTCTATCTTAATGGGACAATCCACTTTAATAGGTTTCAAACCTAATCTCTCTAAAATCTCATGTGTAATAAATGAATGTGTGGCTCCAGAATCAATTAATGCATAAAGAGGAACTGAGTGAAATAATAACTGATCGATAACTACGAATGGGCTAGCTTCAGCTTCACTTTGAGCAACTGTAAACACTCGAGCATTGGTACCTCTAGGTGTCTGCATTGCGGGTGTAGGAAGGGCTTTACAACCTCTCATCATATGCCCTGGTTGCCGGCATCTATAGCATACATTTTGGCCCAATTCTTTAAGACACTCCCCATAATGATTTCTTCCACACTTCTGGCATTGGGGAACTTCAATAGTTCTTCTTGGGTTGAAATCTTTTCTTATTTCTCACTTGTCTATTAGTAGGGGCATCAGCTCTATCTCTTTGTGGAGCAAGAGGTGGAACACTAGGGGCTACTGTTGATGGAGTTGCTGGGGTTAGCTTATTCACAAATATTTCTGCCCATAAGGCTCATTCCAAAGCTTCATTGTATGTCTGAGGGCGTTACGCACTGGCCATCACATCTCTGGCTATTTTTGGTTTCAGCCCATGCACGAACTTATCCCTCCTCAATTATGGTGTACTCACTACACCTGGCGCAAACCTTGCCAGAGAATTAAATTTCACCGAATATTCTTTCATTAAGATAGTCCCCTGTTGTAAACTGATAAACTCCTTAACCTTTTCATGACCTCAATCAACTGTTCTGTATTCTGCCTCAAACAATCTTTTGAAATCCCCCCAAGTCATCGTGGGAATCCTCTATCAATTCCCACCATATATAGGCATCACCCCTAAACAGAAAGCTTGCATACTGAATCTTCTCCCAGTCTGTCATAGGGAAAAGTGATGTCATATGCTCCACGGATCTAAACTACTCTTCTGCCACTAATGGGTCTGTCGTACCCCTAAATTTTGATGGCTGATGTTGACTAGGCAACCCATATATCAGCTCAATATGATTCTGCACTATCGGGGGTACCGATCTCTCCCTCTCCTTTTTAGGGGTCGGTACAATAACTAGAGTCTTAACTCTCTTCGGTACAAAGCCTCCCCGATTCTCTACCAAGACTTGTTGTATAATATTACGGATCCTCGCTTCATCGAGGACAAGGGGAGTAGATTCTGAAAGGTTGGATGGTTCACCCATACTTATTAACTTCTTACTACTTCCTCGAGTTCTACGTCTCATCTACATAACACCAACACTTTTAGTCAACTTAATTAACTCATCTACTACAAGTAAGGAAAGAAATAACTTATAGCGGTCGGCTGCAGAACATCAATGCAGCGGGAGAGGCACACTGTCAAATCCCAAAGCCTTTACTTTGATACCAAAAATGTAATACTTTCTCTTTAGCCAGTATAATCGTAAAATAACAGTAAAACTCATTAAATATATATAAGAAAATATACATGTAGATGAGTATAAAATAATGGGTACATAACTAATTTTTTCTTTATATACAAATCTTTGCGTAATATAATGAAGTCTCAAAACAATAACTCGACAGTGTTGCCAAACCCTTCCGCTTCTTAACGTTCCAAGCGACCACATCTCACCTACTACCTGCAAAAACGTTGAAAACAACAGGGTGAGCACTAATTGCTTAGTAAGTGAACCCGCTATGCTACCCTTCTCTCTTCGTTGTTTAAATTCTGAATTTCTTTCCTTACATCACACTTCTCTATTCTTCTCTGTTCTTTCTCAATTTCTAATTTCTCACTGCTCATGATAATAGGCATGGTATCATGCATAGGTATGATGCAAATGCACAAATGCATAAAATGTACATTTTCTTTTCTATTTTTCTTATTTTTCTTATTCTGTTTTCTGTTTCTTTTCTCTGTATTTCTTTCTTTCTTTTCTAGTCTTTCTTTCTTTCTATTCTTTTCTATTCTTTTCTTTCTATTCTTTTCTTTTCTTTTCTTTTCTTTCTGTTCTGTTCTTTTCTTTTCTATTCTTTCTTTCTTTCTTTCTTTCTTTCTTTCTATTCTTTCTTTTCTTTTCTTTCTTTCTTGCTGATCGGACTCGGTTGAGGCATGGATTTGGAACCCTAGCCGTGTGAGTGTATTCTCTAATTCTGGGTACAATCCTCATCCACATGCACTTCTAACGGATTGTACAATTCTTCTTTCTAATTCTGAGGCTGCTCACTAAAGGCGGCGTGCATGCAGGGCTATGTCACTCACGGGTTCCCCATCGCAATAACCTTCTCTTCTTTTATCTTTTTACACTTCTTTAAATAAAAATTCAGATTTGAACTTCTTTAATATTCTCGTTTCTTTCTATTTGCTCTTTAATGTTCTTTAATGCTTTTTAATGCTCTTATGAGTATGTATGCATGTAGATGGACTTATGCTTACTATTCTTTCTAAATTCACATGTTTGGATGCAATAATGCAATATGGAGTGTAAACATGCCATTCTCTACCATCTACAAACTCATTCAAGATAACAAAAAATCATACTTATACATGCACTTCTCTTTGACATTTCATCAAATAATTTATATGCATACGCAAGCTCTAAATTGACTACACTTCTACCTCTTTTCAAAGCCACCAAAATTTGGAATAAAATTCACCAAAATTAACATCAAACCTGTCCAGGATTTACACTCCATAAATTCTACTCCAATTCTTCCATAATTCATCCAAACTCTCATCAAACATCAAGTACACAAACACTAATGTCAAACCTGGCTAGGATTTACACTTCATAAATTCTACTCCCATTCTTCCATAATTCATCCAAACTCTCATCAAACATCAAGTACACAAACACTACTTCTCATGGATAAATTCTAACCATCATTCAACATCCATTCCATCAACAATTCTTCATATATAAGCACATACATGCATAAAAGAAATTCTCTACACAATATTACTCCAATCATAACTAGGGTCGCAATCCAACACTTTAGTAGTTTTCCTTGATCCAACTCTCTTTCTCTTAAATCCTATGAACACAAATCATAAGAATTTAACACTTTAAAAATTAAATCTCATATCTTAGTGCAAGGATCTTACCTAGGATGCTTGGGATTGAAATTCCACTAAAAATAAACCAAGATCTATGAATTTCCTTGAAAAATGATTGAAGAAATTTGAGAGAACTTTGGTGGAAGGTGGCGTGAATGGAAGAGAAGAAATGGCTAGGGTTTCATTCTTTAACTCTTGATATAACAAAATATTATTTATAGTTTCCCATTTTATCCTTGCACTCTCTATGAAATTCCATCTATGTCCCTTAGTCAATTACCAAAGTGCCCTTATTTTTTATTGCATTCTTCATGAAATTCTCTCTTTTCAGTCCCCATTTTTTCAACTAATTATGAGTGAAAAGACCATTTTGCCCCTAATGAAATTTTAGGGAATTTTCTTCGCACTTGTTCAAGATAACTTTAACAAAATTCAACTAAGGGTATTAGGGCATAAGTAATGCTACATACCTTGATGTGGGCGTTACAAGTTTGATTAGAAATCTTTTTATTAGTGTTTCATTGTGTTTAACTGTTTTATTGATGTGATGATAAACCGAGCGGTGAAATCACTTTAGGTCATTAAAATATCATAAATCATAGAATGAATAGGATACTTGAGAGAGTCTTATGAGGTTTATGTGGCTAGTTTAGGTTTTAAGTAGGAGCGGAACCTAACCGTTAATGAATTTCACAATTGTCTTTGTTATTTAATTTTTTTAATTTCTTGTTTTTATTTTAAATTCACATCATCAATTTTGTTATCTCAAATATTAATTAAGATTAGTCAGTTTATTTTTTTGTTTAGCATTTAGTCCTTGTGGGGTTTGACACTTTATTCATCATTTTATTACTTGTCGACTAGTGCATTTGCTAGTGTACAAAATAGTCATAACCAGTTTTTGGCGCCATTGCTAGAAACTGAAAAATTAGATGTACATTTACGTTGACTTGTCTTGTTACTTTGAGAATTTTAATTTTTTTTTTTTTTTTTTTTTTGTATTTCAGGTTTTTCTCCCATAATGCATGACCCACTCTAGCAAAGAAGAAATGGAAAAGTTTGATCCTGAGATTGAGCACACGTTACACCAATTGAGGAGATTGAGAAGAACACAAGTTTTAGCAATGGAAGAGATTAACAATGAAGGTGGAGGGAATAATGTAGTAGCAACCAACGTAGAAGTGGCGAGACCGCTTAGAGAATATGCTATGCCATATTTAAATAAAGCAACATCAAGCATTAGAAGGCCGACCATTCAAGCCAATACTTTTGAAATCAAACCAAGGATAATTCAAATGATTCAGCATTCAGTGCAGTTTGGTGTTTTGACACAAGAGGATCCAAACTCTCATATACCCAATTTCCTGGAAATTTGCGATACCTTCAAGCACAATGGAGCTTCAGATGATGCCATTCACCTATGACCTTTCCCATTCTCTCTAAGGGACAAGGTGAAGAGTTGGTTACTTTCTTTGCCCGTAGGATCCATCATTACATGGGATGCAATGGCACAAAAATTTATTCGTAAGTATTTTCCTCCTACAAAAACTACAAAGTTACGTAACGAAATTACAATGTTTTTGCAAGCTGATATGGAATCACTGTATGAGGCATGGGACCAGTTCGAGGATTTATTATGCAAGTGCCCACATCATGGATTGCCAATGTGGCTGCAGGTACATACATTTATTAATGGTTTAAATAACTCTACCTGTAACTGTTAGAGTAGGTGTCTTAGAGCCAATCAATTATTGTAAAATTGAATCTATAATAAATGTTTATTTATCAATAAAAGGCATATTCTTCTATATCATGTATGTAATGATATATGCCTTAGGATGGTAGAACCGTGATGAGGGTATCAAGTGTTTCAAATCTTGATAGTGAGAACCCTATGATCACATATGGTGGCCATTCTAGAAATGTCTGTAGCCCTGGTATTATTCTTACCAAGGACATAGATAATACGATAAGGCTATCATAGTGTTGAACGACCCTGTCGAAAGGCAGTGACTGATCTCACTTGTCAAGGTTGTTTGCCGACAACTTGGTGCAATGCATGGGTGCTTGCTAGAGGCAAGTTCACTGGACAAACCCACCAGAGGATTCCATATGGATGGTAACCCAAGTGTTTATGGAATAAATCCTCTAACGGATGGATGTGCATGTGATCCTTAGACTTGAGATCACCGGAGCACCTTGTGCACCAATTGGTGTAGTTTGACATTAGCCCCATGTTGTTATATTCAGAGCTATCAATATGGTAGTGATTGGCTACATTGAGAAGTGTATCGAGACTATGGTGGATTGACAAAGGATTCATCACTCTTGGTTATCTCACTGAGTAATTCAGTAAATGGCAATGACACTAAATATGTGGCCATATTGGAATTAAGTTCATGCTCAATCCAATTTAATATTCCTGTCATTGGTTCAGTAAATGAATACAAACATGTTAAGGATATATGAGGTTGACACTATTTCTATACCTCAGTCTCGATGATATAACAGTTGATGAAAGGACTTGATTGCACGATAACCGTACTATTGATAGGCTGCGGTTTCGCTGAATCCGAATCTATTAGGTGGCCATGATGCCTTGCTAGGAGCCATCTTGGTCTGTGTGTAGTGAAATGATTAATTGGTGTTAATCACAATACTACACACTGCCAATATGATTAGGAGCCTACAGATCACACACTTAGAAGATAATTTAAGAATCAATTTGTGAGAAGGGTATTTTCATCTTTTAGGACAAAAGGGTATTTTGGTAATCTCACAGTGCAATTAAATTTGCTGAGGTTGTTGCCTGTATTTAATTTCAATATTAAAATTAAATTAGTGAGATTATATTTAAATATATCTATGTATATATTTAAATGAATTATTATTATTATTTGAATGTTAATATATTATTATTTATTAATTGATTTTAATTATAATAATAATTAATTAATTAAAATACCATTTATGGTGTGTTTGGTTGCAAGGGTGAACTAGGGTTAGAGCCCATGGCTATTCCTAAGTGGAATAGGGTTTTAATTGTTGCACTATATAAGTGCAACTTAAAATTAAAACATAAAGAGAATTATTCATTTGACTAAACCCTAGTCACCCTATCTCTCTCTCTCTCTCTCTCAAGAAGAAAACTTTTCTTGTTTTTCTTTCTTGATTCTTGAAGCCCTTGATTGTTCTAGCAAAATAATCAAGGGTTCTGTGGATTATCTTTGTGTGGACTTCCATGAGTGCGATCCTACTTTGGATCGATTAGCGAAAAATCACATGAACAGTAGATAGTGAACGGTAACTGTGAACAGTAGATGGTGAATAGTAACTATGAATAGTGTTCCTGTCTGAAATCAGAGATATTCGAAGGAGCCTCCAAACGTACGCAAGTATTCTAATCCTTGAATGGATTTACTTTATACATAATTTTGTTTATAAACATGTAAACAATATAATCTATACTTAGATCCAGGCAAAGAAAGGTAATTGATTTATCGATTAAATTTTTGTTTTCCACTGCATATGGTAGATCAATTACTTACAATAACATGTTAGATGCAGCAGGAGGGGGCACAGTTATGAAGAAGACTCCTAAAGAAGCATATGAATTGGTTGACGAAATGGCTTCTAGTAGTTGTCAATGGGCTGCCGATAGATTAGCTGTGAGGAGACCTATAGGAATTCATAATGTTGATGCTATTACGTCTTTAGCAGTGCAAATGGAGGCTTTGAATAAGAAGACAAATAACATGCATGTTTTTGCAGTGATGATTTAGACTCTTGTTTGTGACTATTGCGGGGGAGGCCAGCCAAATCATGAATGTCAGGTAAGTGATTCTTTTGCACCCTCTTCTAAGCAAGCTAATTTTTTTTTTCTTATTTTAACAGGCAGCAAAACAAGCCGTACAGTCACACGTACAACCTAGGATGGAGAAATCACCCAAATTTCTCATGGAACCAAAATGCTGCTCAACCATCACCACCAAGGTTCCAACTACCTCAAGAGAAGAAATCCAATCTTGAAGATATGATGGCCAAATTTCTAAGCACTGCTAAATCAAGGTTTCAAAACCAAGAAGTTTCCATTATGAATTTGGAGGTTCAAGTGGGACAACTTGCCAATTTAGTCTAAAAAAGGACACAAGGTGTGTTACCAAGAAACATAGAGAAAAACCCAAAAGAACATGCAAAGGCTATCATGTTGAGACGTGGAAAACAATTAGAAGAACCCAAGCGAGTTGAAGGATTAAATGAACTTAAAAAGGAGCAGGCTAAAAGACTAAGAAAAAATAAGAGCCAAAATTTTGTGGTGCAACTAGCCTTGAAAAAGCTTGTAATTTGGTTGGTAAAAAATCTATAGAGAGGAAATATGTTCCTCCTCTTCCTTATCCTCAAAAGCTGAAAAAAGAAAAGCTTGATAAATAGTTTTCAAAATTTTTAGATATTTAAAAAAACCTACAAATTAACATTATATTTGTAAAAGCTTTGTCGTAGATGCCTAGTTATGCAAATTTTTTGAAGGAGATCCTGTCAAATAAGAGGAAGATGGAAGAGCATGGGACAGTTTGATTAATTGAAGAGTGTAGTGCGATCTTACAGAATAAACTACCCCCAAAATTAAAAGATCCAAGGAGTTTCACTATACCTTGTACTATTGGTGATTTTTACTTTGATAAAGTATTATGTGATCTTGGTGCAAGTGTGAATTTAAAGCCATATTCTATTTTCAGGAAACTATAGTCTCTTTACAGTTGGTAGATCATTCGATCAAGAGACCACGGGGAATAATTGAAGATGTGTTAATGAAGGTAGACAAATTCATATTTCCCTTGGATTTTATTGTGCTAGAGATGAAAGAAGACCAAGAATGTAAAACCCCCCTCCAGTTAGGTATCCTCTTAATATCCCTCAATGAGAATCTCGAGGATACATGTCTGGAAAACGAGTTGTATTTAGAAAAAAATATATGTGTAAAGATAATAATAGTAATATCCAATACATGCATATAAAATGTCATGCAGGATCCAAACATATAATTTCAAAACTTTAAGAATTTATCCATAAAATACACATTCGAAACATATTTACAGGGTGGAATATTCTAAAAGGTGTTTCACAAATATTTATCATTTACATTATTTACATCAAGATAAAAACATCGAGATGACAATAAATCATCTCCCCTCACGTGTAGCCCCGCTGTCTCTAGCATCCTTTGCTTCTGGTCTACCTGTAAAGCAATCAACAATAAAAGGGTGAGTGCTAATCAGTCAGTAAGGAATGATCTATTTCATTCTAAATATGCTATTTGACCTTTATTTAAACATATTTGGTAACACATCACTTATCTTTTACATCTAGGGACACTTCCCCTTTTATTTTATATATATATATATATATATATATTTTCTATTTCATATGTCTTTCATCATTTTATCCCATGGCTATATAACATCAATGTGTACACATACAAATAAGTATGTAAACATAGTACACACACATCACATGTCATGACATAACATCTAAAATCATCTAACATGAGCATAAATCATCGCATAATGTAAATAACATTATAACTCATGTAATGCTACTAAACTATATATCAATACATATTGCAATAATAATGATTTACGCGATATAGAATAAAATGCCTTTTATTATTGATTAATGAACATTATTACAAAGAGTCAATTCTACAATAATTGATTGGCTCTAGGGCATCTACTCTAACAGTTTGATTAAGCCCATAGTGATGGAAGGAATGAGGTTCCTTTTGAGTTAATATCCAATTGAGGGGTTTTTATATTAGGCGTCTCACCATTTTTATTAATACATAATTTGGCATGTGAAATGTTCAACCTTAATCATGCATTCTAAGCATAAATTTAATGTGCCGGTACATGGCCTAACTAAAAATCCATCTCCTCGAGCCTAGAGGAACCAGTGGGCCAACCTAGGGTCCTGTGCTAAACAATACAAATCTTGAGTCTTGGGGAATGAATGTTGCTCCTTTGCTCCGTCTTCAAGTACATAATAATACAAATTTACAAGAAATTAAAATAAAACAATTCTAATTTACATTGATAAATTTGGAAACCTCGAGTTATATTCAAGGGGAGTGAGGTGAGAAAATAATGTACAATAGAGATGAGAGAAATGCAACGTACGTATGCCCTATTATAAAATATACAAACATACATTCCAAAAAATTCAATTAAAACATAAACCCTTAGGTCTAAGGCTCATGTACCAGGTATCATGCAATAAAATACATAGAAGCATTGCATTCAAACAAGCAAAAGCATATTTTGATTCAATTAGATAATTACAATACCCCTTTTAGGTCCAATAGGTTTTAAACGTTGCAATTTAGTCTTAATTGACAGACTTAATCAATTGGGCCACCAGATTTTAGCAAATGTGCATCAACACACTTCAAATAATCCTCAAGTAAAATTGCGTACAACAACGCGTAATCATTAACCCAATCACAATTCATCAACAAATTTCATTAATCAATTTTAATTCAATTCAATCAAATCAAAATCAAACAAAAACATGTAATCAACAAATCACATGTTTCTCAACCAAAATTAAACATAATAGTCAGATACCCTAGGCTCTGAAACCACTGCTAGGAATCAGTCGATAGAG